TCGGTTCGATTTTCGAAACCGTGGTTTCGGTTCCTGACTCCCTAAAAAAGACTGGACGTTCGTACGAGTAAGAGTGAACACTGACGTCTTTCGAAAAATGATTTCCGACAAAACACCGTAAGCTGTATGTCGTAACCAGTAGTACAGCACGAGACCCAGTAAATCTTGTAAAAAAGAAAACCGGTTGGTGGTAATCGTTCCGTACAAATGGAATGTTGAGGATTGAATTGAAATTACATCCTCATAGCCACCGTTGCCGGCATCGTCCAATGCATGGATGTATCGACGGAGCTGCACCGCACTTACATAAGCGATGGAAATGAGAAGCAGTTAAAAATCGAAATCTATATCATTTTTTAGGAGTAGTGTAAAGCGGTGAAGTGTGCAATAATTGAGTTTCGATCGGGTGTCGGATTTTTTCAGATATCATCGAGAGAGCAGGACATCATCAGTGCGGGAATTTTGCCGATAAGTTTGCACGTTTTTCATCACACCCCTACACTATCATGGTGCAGAGCTTGATCCAAAGGATCCGGGAAAACAAGTTGGACGCCCTCTACTTGTTCATAAATGAATCCTTGCGAGATCGAAACAATTTCGATGTGTTTTTCAACGATTTAATGGTTGTTTTACCGAACAATTGGAGCATCAATCGGGTTGAAATAGGTCACGAATTCTTGTCGAGAACTGTTGTTGCTGATCATCAGCAACAGCAGGTGAACAATGATGTCAACAACATTAATCGGAATACCAGTGGGGACGGGAACCCAAGCAAACAGGACCATTTATTTCAAAACGTTTGTTCTCTTGAAAGTCTGCGATCTCTTATTATTTCCGATGGATACATCCCACGAAAGGACCACGGATTTGTCGATACTAAAGCATTGTTGCGTAACTTACCACGTGCGAACAACCTGCAGTATTTAGATATCCAGAGATTGAAGTTGCGAATTACGAGTGATAGCATCGAAAATAACGACGCCATGTTGCTTGCAGAGTGCTTGAATTCGTTGCGGGACTCCTTAGAAGACCTCCGCCTCACAGCGATTTCCTTTTGTGATACGACAAAAACACCGACCCCAACAACTGTCACGACATCCGAAAACCAACATAAGCTCTGTACATTGCATAGAGCACAAAGCGAAGAGCAAACGAGGAGGAGATATCCATTGGATTCAGCTATTCGGGTTTGCGGTGACATGGCAAACCTCCAACTGTTGGCAATATCTTGTGCGACAGGTTGCGGTTGCAATTGCAATAACGGCGAAGAACAGCAGCAGCAAGATGGCTTGGCGATTCGTGATGCCAATGAAGCCAGCAGTAGCAGCAGCTTGTCTTCATCGTCCTCTTTGCCATCCTCTACTAAATCGAGTTGTTTAATCTCCAGGGAAGTCCTGCTGTATTTGTGTCGGTCTTCGTCGACTCTGCAAGAATTTGCTTTGAGGAGGATGCGAATCGACGACGATACATGCAAAACTCTTGCAAAAGCGTTTGACCCCCCAAACAACAAGTATACTACTCGAACATCGTCGTCGTCGTCATTGTTACAGCAGTGCAACAGTAGCGACGAGTATGACGAGGATAATGATAGCGACAGCAATGCAAATAGCCATCATTCTCCTTCGTTTTGGACGAGCCTGGATCTACGTCAGAATCCGTCGATTGGGAATGAGGGATATGAAGCAATTTTGTCTTCGCTCGAACGCAACTATGATTTATGGTGTTCACTCATGGTGGTAAGTTTGAATGATTCTGAATGCTCGATGGGTTTTCATCGCGCTCTMGCGTATTTCTTATATCCCTTTTCGTTCTTTTCATCGCACCCATTGTACTACTTCTATCGCATCGAAACACTACTACCAAAACAGGACAACGAATCATTCCAATCAAAATTCAACGCGCTGATTGAATTGAATCAAGCTAATCGCGGTGCCTTGRTGCGGTCTCCGACGCCCGAAAAACTCGCAGTTTTCTTGGACTGCYTGAAGGATAATCCTACAGCACTATGGTATTTTCTGACGATACACAGGGACGCGATACTCCTTCCCTTGCTCGACTTCCTCAAATGGAAGAATGGGATTGTACGCAAACGAGCGAATGCAGCAATAGCAGAAGCAAATCCGCAGCAGCAACAAGGTGGCCATAAAAGACCACTAGACGAAGCATTCTCCTAGGCACCGCTGTCTTGGAGTAACCAATGAACCCCAACTTTTGCTTCACGTTTGCAGATGTTTGTTGACTTCAATAGCATTATTCTAGTGGAATCGATTCCAATGAACTAAACAGTTAGGTCTGTCACCAAGAGTAGGGTGAAGTTGGAGATTGAGAAATTACAAACGAAGGTAGAAGTTGTCCAGGCTACTTAGAACATACAGGGCCACCATGGAGCGAGGAAACGAACCAGTGCTTCCAAAGAAGAATGAATGAACCAATCACGCGTATTGACGACTGAAACCATTGTCAAGCAACACATATGAGTAGATACCTTCTCAACAGCAGCACGGTAGGAAGATTGAAAAACAATTGAAAAGCCTGCTCGCGGGGCTTACCGTTCTCAACGACAAGACATGGTTGATTGATGGTGGTACAATCTCCGTTTTTTGAAAAATCARGAAACTGTTCGACCGCGCCCAATTCCATTTTTACCGAGGAGTACGAGTACATGTTTGCTAAACAATAATAATTATGTACATTTTCATTATAAAACAGTTTCGAAGCATGTCCAGTTGATGCTTTGTCATCGAATAGTTAATGGGAGTGGTTTGATAGCAGGGTGCAGTGCTGGTCTTCAAGCATGGCATATCTGGATAGATTCTAGGTGAAAGAGGGAGATACAAGAGACAAATGTTAATATCCATTTACCCAGAGAAGATTTCCATGCAAAACTAGATCATTGATATTAAAACCGATGGCATTCTTTGCATCCTTTTATCATAACGATAGAAGGGGAAGGGCCACTGAAGCCAAAAGAATTGTTTTCAAGCGATTATCCTGTCGCAGCGGCGAAGAACCAGAGGAGAAAGAATACATGCCATGAGTGACGGCGTTGAATCTATCTCCATCCCTATCGCCGTCGCCTATGCCAACTGTGATGATGGYATTGTCGTCACTGTTGCGTTCATTGGCGCCAGTGGCTCGACCATACGCGGAGACGGAAGAATCCATGCCATCCCTGGCGGTGTTGCTGCTATCGCCATCAATGCTACTTGGATTGGCATTGTCGGTGCTCTTTGTTTCATCATTACCGGCGTTTTGACCTAAAAGTACTGGGATGGGATACGATTCCAAAAACGGAAGAGAAGACAGAAACCCACTCGTTGCCGTTGTTGCAAGGCATGGTTTGTTGGTTGCCTGGGAAAAACCGTCGATGTAAAGTTCACCGGTCGTCGGATCGAGGGTTCCGTTCAACGCCATCTTATCTTCTCCCGCTTGTTCCCCCGAGTACATGACAATCCGGTTGGTCTCCCTCTCCCAGAGGAAAACCCCGTGGTAGTCTCTCCGGATGGTCTGTTCGCTTCTTGCCACGGTCCCAACCGGTTCGAGGATTGACGTGAACCACACGTATCCGGTATTGGATAGGATAAATTGGTTGACCTCGTAGGAAATCCCCGGAATCGCGTTCTGGTTGGGGCAATCGAACCGCACCGAAACCGGATTGTCCTCTATCACCTGCCAGTCCAGACCTGTGACGATGCAGGGCACCGCCGAAAGATCCGTCTGGAAGGAAACCAAAACGCCCCCTTGTCCGAACCAGAGATTGCTGGCGGTGACCTCAGCCCCCTCCCAGATGCCGTCGCCGTTGATCACCAGCGACGCAGGGCTGCTGCTCCCGCTGAAGGCGTACGATCCGCACTTGTAGGTCGACCCTCCACCCATGCCATCCGGAGCGAAACAGTGCACTTCTTCGCTGCCCACAAATCCGTAGAGAGGCCCCGCCGGAACGAAATTTGCCTGTCCCCCACACGCAAACGAATATCCATCCAGGGAGTTGTTGATCGACGCCACGGTAGATCCCATTTCCACGACAACGATCGCAGCCAGCAGCAATTTGCTGAACAGAATCGAAACGAAACGAAAGCGAGTCATAACAATCAAGCGGAGTGGTGGTGGTAGAGGGCGCTTTTCTATCGAGTCACGCCCAAGTTCAGTGCTTGGTGCTGTTCTTTCGAAATACAAGCGATTTTCTCGCCCACTCACGGTTGATTTAGATTCTTTGTGACACGAGGATGAGTAGAAATCGATCAATAACGTCGACATAAAATATATGTCTTCGATGGATGTTCCTCCCAGAGTAATATCATTACAGCGTTCGTTGTATTTTTTCAGGAACGTTCTTCCATTATTAAATTTTCATGACGACTCACATAATTTTTTTTGATGAGACAAACAAAAAGCCAGACAAATGAAATATGGTTTTTAGTCGTGACCTCCTAGAAGATTCACGAAGTTTCAGTACCTCTATTTCACACAGCACTTCTTACCCATAAGCGCTATATTATKATTATTCTTTGTGTAATMCAATAGCCCAATTCGACTAGATCCTTTGTCATGACATTTTCAGAACTCTTCAGGGCATAGTTTTACAGGGGCTATGACTACTTTCAGGGTCAACAAAATTGTCGAGGAAATACGAATTTACGTACCGTACGGTACTGGTAGTATCTGATCGATGTAGAAATATCATCCTCTGCTGCTACTGCAACAGTACGATATACTGTACGTCACATATGTATCACAGGTACCAATGCTGCCTTTAAGCGACACCGTGGCTAATCGTACCGTATAATTGAACCACTTAGTCGAATACAGTACTTGTGTACCGGTACGGGTACGAGTACCCGTACCCCAAGTACGCAATTGACAAATTATTTACTTACCGTACAAGGGCAGGTGCCGGGTACCGTTCAGTACGTACATCTCAAATCTCAACAGAACGCAAGGACGAGAACATAGAACAAGGCCTGAGCCCCATTTGATCCAGTCTTGAATTAGTCAATAGTCGAATGAGTCGATGAATTACTAGATCCATCGAAAGTATGGGTGTTGTTTTTTCTTTCGTTTTCGTGTCGAAAGAGTGACGCAGAAAATGACAACTTTTTTGGTTTGGTTCATCCGAAATKGGAAAAATGGAGGAATCGACTAGGATTATTATACTCMCACCGTATTCATAGTTGCCGTGGAAAAATAAGATTCTAKTCGCAACAAAGAGGAGACGGAAACAAAAATGAACAAAAGAATGATGCCAAATCTCGGGGCCGTTGCTCTTGCTCTCGCCSTTGCTCTTGYAACGCCAACAACGCGTCTCGGATTTGTCACCGATGCTTTCGCACTCCTACTCCCACCGAGACTGGTGACACCAACATCGACGTTGCCAAGTGTCCCAGSTTTTCCCTTGGGGTTGTCCTCTTCGTCGGAGACGTCTTCGCCAAAYGGCRCCGGTGCCGCGGGATCTGATTCCACAACCGCGGCCGATCCGAGCAACAACCCCACGGACGTCAATGATCTAGTGTTCGTCCGCCCCGCTCTTCTGGTAGACATGAACCGGGCCTCCAAGATACTGGCGGACGGTTTTTTCAAGGGGCCGCAGACTAATTGGATCACCTACCAATACGAAAAGCTCGTGACCTATCTCAGCCTGGAGGCAAACTTTCCGAAGAAACCACACCAGCGAGCCAGGTACGAGATCTTTGTGGCGTGCGAGAGAGGCTCGGGGACAGTCGTGGGCATGGCCGAGATCGATGCGCGCGGAATGGCAGACGAGCGAACGGCGAGGGTGTACGAGCAATCGGGCGGGAGCGCCTACATGTGCAAYCTCGCTGTCGACGAGCAGCGGCGGCGAATGGGAATCGCCACGGCCCTGGTCCGCGAGTGTGAGMGCSKCGTCCGGGAGTGGCACGAGGAAGACGAGCGAAGRAAGCRAAGGAAAAGCGACAGCGCCATCGAGCTCAAAAGCGATATCATTTACGATACCAAAAACGAAATCATCAGTGACAACATCATTTTGTACAACAGGGCAAACAAGGATGGAAAAAACAACAAAATGAGCAAGAGTGTGTGTTTGAAAGTCAGGGAAGCCGACCAGGCTGCTGTCCAAATGTACCAAAAGCTGGGCTACGCAACAATTTYCGAGGAAATGGACCAAAGTTCCAACAAGAGYAAATCAAGAGGAAATATTTTGTTGATGAGAAAGAAACTGTAGTCGGTCGAATCGGTCTGGTCGATCTGTAGAAACACCARAAGAGATGCTGCTGCCTACACCGATAAAGATTTTTCGTCGGGCGCTACAATGGATGCTTTATGTAGGTTGAGTGGAATAATTGCCGAATGAATCAACCATACATRCGCGTTCTGCTAAACAACACCGAACAAATMTACACGCTCGACAGAWGTTGGCGATAGCGACTCGTTGTCAGTGTGTGTGCTGTTATTTGCTACGTGCTTTTGTGCTGATTGTCAGAGGATGCTCCTGTGATTGTACTGTGATCGTGGTGAAGCGTCCCTTCGGGGCCGGGGGCTGTTTGGTGGACCGTTCGGTGCTGCTGCCGATTCGGTACCACGAGCGGACAAGGCACACCGGATTGGTTGGTCACTAAGAACACGCGATCGCACAATCTCGATTTACTCTTTGGCGCTGTCTTTCCAAGCAAGCCTGATGTGGATCCGAAGTTTTGAAGCATACCGAAGAATACGGTGGAGTACTGTATCATTCGTAATCTGTYATGCGATTGATTTGAAGTTTATCTTGGTCTGTCTTTAGACAACATAGATTCGATGAAGCTCTCATCAAGAGTCATTTGAACTACACAATGATAAATAAGAGSAGCCTGCAGACTGATTTTCACTCTGATAGATTTTATAATGCCCGTACAATAAATTCTTCTACAACGGATCARCACGCATCAATTTCTGGTTTTGTCGGACATATATTTCGGTATCACAAATTGAAATTACATATATTCTAATCTTTGGCTACCTACCGATGAACATTGGTGAAATCTCGAGTATCACGTTAGTTGCCACTTCTTTACATGGAGGAAACCTCACACGATTTCAAACGCCTCATTTTCTCATGTTCAAAACATGGTTAAAGCTTACGTGTGACAGAGGCTTTCGTACTTYTGGATTCATCATTTAAGGGTCGTCAGCGAGAATCACAAATGAGATAGTCACATAAAAGTAAATCACGTAGCAAATTAAGAGAGTCAAAGCGAACAACACAGTGTCGAGGTTTGTCGCAAGTTCCGAAAGTTTGTTCGATCCTTTGCGCCTAGGCCATGATATCTGCCTACAAAGTGTGGACTGGTATTCCATACCATCGCCAAAGAAACCCTTTTCAACCAACGMATAGAACACATCGTCGATTTCCTGCAAGAAATGAAGTGCCGCGAAGTTCAAAAAGACACCCAAGACGTCGTTGGTTGTTAGCATCACCAGAAAGTTGACCGTGAGTGAAAAGGYTCCATCGATGAATCGCAAAAGGTACGCTAGTCCGAACTTGAATCTGGTAGCACCTTCACTAATCTTCTGCACCTGGGGGTCGTATCGAGAGTTTGCCAAGCCGGCGTAGACTGCCATCAAATCTTCTTGCATAGCAACGGCAACAGGAATCAAAAAAAATTTTACCGTTGTTGCTGCCTTTACGGCCCCTCCAAAGTCATCCAAGTYGRTTCCTATCAAGAGAGTTGAATAAACGAAGTATTTGATGAAGATGACGCCGCATGCAAACAAGAAAGACCACGAGAAAAATGGAGAGGCAGTAATGAATGCGTAGACGTCTTCTGATAACTCGTAACTTCCTTTTTGCTTGTACGATGCCATCTGAGCTTGAATTAGCGCTTTGTTTCTCGTGGAAACATCGGATCCCTTGGTTGCTAGGTTCTGATTTTCATCAGAGCCACTTCCCTCAGAAGAATTTTCTGCAACTTCAATGTCGTCACCTGGAGCGAACGACGTTTTTTTGGGTTGGGTATCCATGGTGTTCTGTGCTCCACCTCTTCGGCTTCAGTTGTGGGATGAATGTRGAAATTATGAAATGTACCSRCCGTGTCGTCAAAACAATTATGGAGTGACAAYTATTATGCAATCACGAAGTGAAATGAGAGGRACGAAATTTTTGAGATTTTTYCTTTCAATTTATAGAATGCACGGTATCGATTGTGACCTCTCAACAACGTTTCTTCGGCCAAGATAGTATCGTCACCAAAAAAGYATAAGATATYGGTATCATCGTAATCGTTGGATGCAGTAGGYGCGTGACAAAACCGTTATTGATGCCGAGTCTGCGTTCGACAAAATTGCCTAATTCAATTAAGCCGAGAAAAAAATCCCAGTGGATTCTACCAAAATAATATTTCTCGTGACATCACGCTTCGCTTCTTCCTTTCGAAAAAATTTGTTTTACCGTGTGGGTACAGTAAGTACCTGTAATAAAATATACAATAATAAATACATAGWACAAAGTCCGTAGAATCCTACACACACACAAATAATCGCGAAACTACTGGACCGAAAATACCAAAAAACTTGGTAAAAATTGAAGTACGAGTACACACTTGCTATTGTGAAGTACTTTGAAGTACTCACAAGAGTGCTTACTACTGGAAAATGAAGGTAAAACAAAAACCTGTAATTTTAGGTTGACAGTACTAAGAGTACTGCTTACCACATGAACTTCTTACTACTGATTCCTACAAGCACCTCAGGCCCAATCCTACTACTATTACTGGAGGTGTTACTAACAGCGTTAGTAATAGCAACACTGCTTACTATTTACTAGTAGTATTTCTTAATAGATATCCAACATTGGTCTTTTATCAGGGGATTCGTATCAGCAACTCGTGTCAGCATCCTCTGTAYCAGCAGCTCTTCCATAGTATTCCTMCTCCATAGCAGCTCCTCTGTGTTCCTCCCCTGTATCATCAAGCCTCCGTATCATCGACTCGTCCTGCAAGCCTCCGTATCAGCGGAAGCTGTATCAGTGAGCCTCGGTATCAGYGTGCGTATCAGCATCTCTGTATCACYGTATCAGCATCCTGCGTATCAGCATTTCCGTATCAKCATTTCCGTATCAGCATCCTCCGTATCAGTGAGCGGTATCAGTGAGCCTCCGTATCAGTTAGCATCCTCCGTATCAGTGAGCCTCTGTATCAGCATCCTCCGTATCAGCATCCTCCGTATCAGTGGCTTGTATCAGCAGCTCATATCAGCGGATCCTCCATATCACCGGCTTGTATCAGTGGATCCTCCGTATCAGCGACTCATATCAGCGACTCGTATCAGCGGATCCTCTGTATCAGCAACTCGTATCAGCGGATCCTCTGTATCAGCGACTCGTATCAGTGGATCCTCCGTATCAGGGGATCCTCCGTATCACCAGCTCCTCCGTATCAGCGACTTGTATCAGCGACTCATATCAGCAGATCCTCCGTATCAGCGGATCCTCTGTATCAGCGGATCCTCCGTATCAGCGGATCCTCCGTATCAGCGGATCCTCTGTATCAGTGGATCCTCTGTATCAGCATCCTCCGTATCAGTATCCTCTGTATCAGCAGTGAGCCTCCATATCAGCATCCTCCTCCGTATCCTTATCAGAGGATCACCATGGTGGGCAAGTCCCTTGCAAAGTTTTGTGATAAAAAGAATAAAGCTGCTTGCTGAGRGGGGGGAGCTACGCAAAATTCCTACACAAATTTAGTACTAGAAAATGGTGTATCATTATTTGTATCATTCAGTTAGCAGTTATAGTACGGTGGGTTATTATACATATTAGGCAACTCCAGTAGTTAATAAAATAATACAAGCACACACATCAGCACCGTAGAAATGTACACAAAAAWWWTTTGATACTACTAAATATGAGGGGTGCGAAAATATGTACRATAAAATATACAGTAATACAACGGTAAAAAATACATGTGTATCATTTAGCAGATACCATGCAGGTACAAGTACATTACTAYGCGTTTCGTAACAATTGAAACCAGTCTCGAAAAAGAGCAAAAAGTAATAGTTTCAAGTTCTAAACTTCAATTTGAAGTTATGAACTTCAAAATGTCCYGGTAGAAAGTCTACGAGGTTCTACTGAGCTAGTTTTTGGATGGCATTCATGATTGAACGGCCAGATTCATGATTGAATCACCTCGGAACCTTTTTTTTTGTTTTGAGGGGCCCCGGGAATCTATTTGGCCATTCAGCAGTCATTTTAAAAAAACTAGCTCAGTAGAACCTGGTACATGATGCACGAGCAAAAGTTCATAACTTCAAATTGAAGTTTAGAACTTGAAATTATGACTTTTTGCTCTTTTTTGAGACCGGTTTCAATTGTTATGAAATGCGTAGTATAAAATGATGCAGATACTACAATAATACTACGTGTTTCTTAACAATTGAATACGRTGGCAAAAGAGAGCAAAAAGTAATAATTTCAAGTTCTAAACTTCGATTTGAAGTTATGAACTTCAAAATGTCCTGGTAGAAAGTCTACCAGGTTCCACTGAGCTAGTTTTTGGATGGCATTCATGATTGAAAGGCCAGGTAACATGATTTGAATCACCTCAATCGCCCTGAACCATTTTTTGTTTTGTTTTGTGGGGGCTCAGGAATATATACAGCCATTCAGCAGTCATTWTAAAAAAACTAGCTCAGTAGAACCTGGTACATGATGTACRAGCAAAAGTTCATAACTTCAAATCGAAGTTAAGAACTTGAAATTATTACTTTTTGCTCTCTTTTGCGACCATATTCAATTGTTACAAARCACATAGTAAATAAACAGCAAAACAATCCGTAGAATCYTACACACATGCAAATATTCCAACTGTTCTAGCTAGAATTCACCAGTCAAAACTAGTAAGAGAGGAATTAACTACTGGAGGTAATGTGTACCATGCAAGAGCGCTTRCTCCATTGTAGTGTTACAATTCAAAAAAATCCAATTTSGCAAGTACAATCTAAGAYATCTTGTAGAGCTAGTACAAGTGCAATCTAGATTGCTTACTAACAACAAGTCAATACTACTAGAATCATCAGAGCTCCTTGTTTGTTGTTACTACTTCTTCTAGTAACTACTATCACCACAAATAAAGGGGGACTAGTAGCAGTATGAGGATGATACCCCTAGTATTAGTATTAGTAGCTAGTACTAGTTATATCCAGCATGTATGTTCAGCTTCTTCTTCCCTCCCCCTCCTCTGCATTAGCATTTTCCATATCAGCAGCAGAGGGGTCACCAGAGGCTGCTCCAAGCTATCAGCATCCTCCGTATCAGCAGCTTGGGTCTTCCATATTCCTCCCCCATATCAGCCAGCATCCTCATCCATAAAATCACCAGCSAGCATCCTCTGTATCAGCAAGCCTCTCTGTCAGCACTATCCTCTGTGTCAGCACCATTCTYCATGTCAGTATCTTCTGCATCAGYGACTTATCAGCAAGCCTCCATATCAGCAAGCCTCTGCTGTATCAGCAACTACCCCATCCTCCATATCAGCACCATTCTCCGTATCAGCATCATGATCCTCTGAACCACCAGCAAGCCTCTGTATYGGTGAGCCTCTGTATCAGCGACTCATAGTATCAGCATTATCTGTATCACCAGCAAGCCTCTGTATCACCACCATTCTCTGTATCAGCACAATCCTCCATATCAGTGAGGAGCCACTGTATCAGCATAGTCCTCCATATTGGATGGTGCTAGATAGAGGATCCCCAGCAATAGTAATCCCAATAATATGAGCAGTCCTACTAGACTGCAGTTGTATTTGATTGAAGATGGTTCAATACTAAGCAAAGGAATAATGATGAATCAAGCTGCATTGGTGCAAATAATTGTATCATTTTTTGTGTCTCTTACTTAGTAGCTATGCAGTGGGAAGTGCTACATATGATTAAGGAATCCTAGTAGTACTACTCAATAAAATAATACACATACCCCTGCCAGCTCACACTAAATGTACATGAAAAAAATTATTTCTTACCACTAAATACTGGAAGTACAAAAATAGATGCATTAGAAAATACATGGAAAACAACCATAGAAAATACATATGTATCATTTTGCAGATACTATATTTGTGCACATACCTGGTGATGTGATAGGGTTGGTTGTCAAATGTAAAACTTCAGAGTTGATTAGAGAACCATGTTTGAAAAGTAATTCATTAGCTGGAACCATGTTGATTTCAATTTTTGGGGAAAATTTAGATTCCCAGGCCCCCCTTTCTGGTACGGAAAATTTTGACCAGTTTTGATTWAAAAAATGTGATTAGAAATAACATACTATTTGTGATYGTTTTTTGTGATCAATCTTTATCACAAATTATGACTGGTTTGTGTATTTATTAGATCTTAATATCTAAGTATAAATAATAGTATCCATCCTGCACATACGCAGGGTACTAGTGTGCCTTCCTAGCAATGATGCCCACAGTCAAATAAATATACATTTATAAATATAGTACATATGAATTGTAATCCTATGTATCATGACTGATATATATATATATATATATATATTGATATGTGAATAATATTATTTGAAGAGATATGTAAAATTGTTCTGTTGAAAAAATGTGATCAAAATTGATCACCAAAAAGTGTGAAGAAATCTGGAGATTTTGTGATCATTTCTGATCAGATTTTTTTGCGATCAGTTCTGATCACGTTATTGAAAAATGGGTATTTGGGAATTAATTTTCTCTGAAAAAAATTGAAATCGACATGGTTCCTGTATCTGTTTTTTCATGCTTCTCCTCAACAGAATTGAATTTGGACAAGATCGACCTAGTAATACAAAGCAATAGATTAATCTCTATCGGMTAACAGTGATTAGGTCGAACCACGGAAGACAAATAGCATGCTATATATTTAGGACATTTGAAAATAAGTTTTGTGAATTCGTTTAAAGAGTGACTTTGGTGGTAAGTCGACGTCATCCTCTCATTGTGTTGAATCGTTCTGTTCAGATATCGCAAAACTCCGTCCGGAAGAGGTTGGTCGCTGACAAACATCACTGGGTGTCTGCCTTTTTTGGGGCCGGCATTTTCTTTCGTGCTCGGACCCTGAAATGGAAATAATGTTAGCCCCATTACTCAGCCGAATAAATGGTACGTAATACAACAGTCTTCGATGTTTGACTTTCTCAGAGATCCCCAAACCTTGCCATTCGCGAGTATAACCACAGTCGTACCACCAAGTGTAGCATGGTGTATCTGCTGGGTCATCTTTTGGGTCCCATTTGGGATTATTCCTACCGTCATCGCAACACATATCTACAGCGCCATCTAACTCCATAGCGTGAAACTTTCCTTTTGCAGGAATAATCTGATCGCTTCCATTGTACTTTTCTCCGTTAGATCCGACCAAATCAAGCTTGTGAGCCACCGGCTGAAGGCGATGGGGCATCACGACACGACCTTTTTCTAATGCTTTATGAATTGCTGGAAGCGACTCAAATCTTGTTTGGAGGATGAGGTCAGGCTCGGTTGAATAAATGTATTTCCAATAGCTTTGGTCATGCAAAGTTCCTAACCATTTTTCGGCTGTCACCTTGTCAAGATTTCCATTGAGCGCTTCCTGTAAGCCGTAAAGCGTAGCTCGCGGTCGATGGACATCTTCGTACTCTGATTTAATCCATTTCTCTTCTGTTATATTTACATATGCGAGCTCTGTATCTACAATTACAACCTCGTCAGTATACGCTGCGAATTGATCGCCAATCAAACGAAACGTTTCCATCGCAGTCGATGCATCTAAATCATCCAATCCTGTAACCACAATACGCCCTATACCGACCCGCAATAAGGATGTGATAGTGGCGCCCAATGTCGTAACGGTCAAATTTTTGGAACGTTCATTTCCGATTGGCGTATCATCATCTGTGCGAACGGCACCATGAGAGATGACAGCAATGGTAGGGTGCAACAATGGCTTGTCTACTTTCGATTCCGACTTTGATAGGAGAACCTTGGTTTTTTCTGGAGTGGCTTGAATGTACCTCAAAAGGTTGCCTGTAATTTTATCTATCGCCACACTGTTGTGGTTCGAATTGGTGATATCCAACTTTTTACACCACTTACTCAAGTGTTCAACAGCAAAATCGAGCCAATCAACAGTCATTCGAACGTCTTCCTTGTTCTCGAAGAAAACGCGATGGCTAGCATCCTCTAGGCTTGACATGATGTCTACGTTGAGACGTTGAAAACGCTCAATTGGTTGTATCCATGTTCCAGAGAAGTAATTATCATAAATAGCCGTATGATCCATCCAATATACTGTCCTTTGCGTCGATTCGTTGCCGTCGCCAATTTCGTCATTCTCAACATCGTCCGAATAAGTGTAAGTGTAGAGATTCTTCTCAGTTTCAGTTCCAGTTCCAGTTGGGGATGCAGTTTCAGCTTCAGCTTGGGTATCAATTGCATCTTCCCCACCAGTCGAAATTCCCTTCTTGACAATTGTTATTCCCCTTTCTGATACACTTGACGATGGGGCGATATTATATTTATTCCCTTTCAGATTGTTGTTGTTTGGGTTTTTCAAAATTGTGTCGACCATGACAACAATTTGAAAAATAGCCAGGACCAATGGTAGGCATCGAACCCATCTAGAATCTAGCCACCCCATACTCGTCTGTGATTTTCTTCGCATTATAATTCCGATGCTCTGTTGCCTAGCATTCGAGTGAGCACGACAAGAGAGATATGATGTTCAGAATGTTCTTTCCGAGCGGTGTCGGACGAATATATGGTTGGTAATTATTTCGATTCTCTTTCTGTACAAGAACAGTTTGATAGTAGCTTATGGGAGAAGGCTGTTTCCCTTGAGTTGCTTTCAAAGAAAAGGATTTACTTATTGTTCGGTACCTACGGTAGAATAGTACGTACTCGTACCGTACCCACCGGTATCTACGAGTAATTATCAGCGTTCCTTTTCAATTTCAGACTCGTACTTCGTAGAAGTACTACCATATTTCATACTGCGTACTAACCGTTGAATATGAAGCAATAACGCGCACCTGAAAAATTAAAATTACGGGTTTTATAACGGCTCTTGGTGTCACGCGCACGGACGAAATCAATTTTGGACAGTTCGTGCTTTCACAAGTCCTGAATATATTTCCCCTGACTCATCCGATGTGAATGGATGGATACAGCGATAATTTAGATGTTCATAGTACTATTCACTATTCTAATCTCCAAAAGTGGACAAGGTGAATTGTGAATCACATACTTGCAAACCGAGTAAGTTATCATTTGTAAAAAGTCAAAAACTAGACGCGTGAAGTGAATGAAGTCTGAACCGTGACTAAAAAGAGCATCACAATCATTCCACCGTCACGTCGACTTTAGGGTTTAATTACAAGCAATCTCGAGTGTTTTTAATTCAATTTCCCAGTTCTTTCCCCCTTTCACATCGTCAACTCGACTCCGTATCTCCTTCAGATTGATCTGTCGTTTTGGCTGTATCACTGGGGGTATATCGAGACTTCAGATCGGTATCGAAGTAGATCATGCAAATCTTCAGAATGGAAGCTCGACCTGCTAACGCCTTCGGGATTATATCCTGCGCGTCACTACTCTCGTTGAGAAATGCCTTGGCGTCTTTTGGTTGACTCACCCAAAGAACTTCGAGTTTGGGACAAGCAGTCGGGCTATCAAGTGCCTTCCAACTAGCCCCCTSAAAAAAATTGCAATCTACGACGAGCAGCCAGCGCAGGTCGGTGCATGCCTTGATTATCGCATGAAAGCCTCTGTMGTTGGCTACGGTTGTKGTGGGGCTAGCATCGCAGGWTTGTGTTGAATAAAGGGTGAGGCCTCGCAGATTTTTGCACGATGCAAGGGCGTTCAAAATTTCGTTGCTCACAATGCATTCAGTCAGAGAAAAACATTTCAGACTGTCCTTGCAAACTTCGATCGATTTGACAATAAAATTTGGATCCACACTCTGCTTATCCCTCTTAGAAGGACCTCCGTTTTGAAATCCATTGAGAAATATGCACTCTGTTTCTGGTGTGACGGCCTCAAGCAGGTTGGGTCCCGTAATAAGGGATCCTCCGGTTTTAGGATGGATCATGTCCAAATGGCAAGCGTCAACAATAGTCGGGTCGTTAGCATGATTGTTAAGATTTGTTTCAGGTAAAAACACCACGGCCGGGAACGTGAGATCGGCTCTTCGATAGCTGGAATATCGAACACCATCACCATCGATGCATAGTCCTCTCATGGCATAGTTGCGATCCGACAAGCGTTGAATGAGATAATAATAGGACTTCAATGGTTCTCCTCGACCCGTGTTAGCATAGTCCTCGGCTGGATTCTGTTCTCCTCCGATAATGCGGCAAGGATTGCGAGCAAAGCGATTCTTGTCAATGTTGTCTTTCATGGCTTTCATGGAGAGTTTCACGGCTCCAAAATTCCTTATCTTTGGGGGTTTGGGTGGCTGCGACGACACGAGATACCTCTTAATCTGTTTGTCTTCCATGTCCTCTTGGTCGCCATCTTCGTACGTTATTTTATAATATGTGGTCGCAGCATTGTACGATGTGACMTTTCCGCTGTAAAAAACTCCTTGAAACTTCTTCGATATTTTCGTTCCAATAGGATACGTCATCTTGTTTTCTACGCAGCGTTTGACATCCTCATGGTCCATTTCCTCCTCGTCGCCATCCTCATATTCTATTTTATAAAATTCCGATTCAGGATCGTAGGAAACGACCTCTCCGTTATAAAAGACCCCATCAAAAGATTTGCTTAATTTTGTGCCAATGGGATACGTTAGTGGCATCGTTGTTTTCCTCTTGTTAGTCTTMGATGCCGTTGCTTCAGTTTTGAMCTTTTTGTTACTCCTGGGCGCTGTCGGTGACGGCTGCATTTTTCTCTTTGGGATATCTTTCTTTGATTTGTTGATTGAAACGGCATCCTCGATGAAAATGCAATAATCCTCCTCCTCCTTCGCCATTCGTTTTGAGTCCTCGCATTGCTCCGTGCTGTATGGAGGTGCTTTGGTGCCGTAGTATTCCTCCGCCCAACCGTCAAATACTTGATGCAGYGAACGCTCTCTTTTTGCCGCCTGGATGGCATCGGCCTTGGTGACATACGTGCCAACGACGCGACGGACTATACAGCTTGCGTTATCATTGTCATGGAGATGCTTGGTCGAGGTGGGTTTTGATTCGACGACGACGCGGTAGCCTTCCGAAGTTGCGTCCACCACGGATACCTCKTGCTCCGATTTGGTGCTCTTCATGGCGTTGGAACAACGTACAATATCAAATTAAAGTTATAGGATATTGTATTACAGAGTAGAAATGTAAATATTGTTGCTGCTGTTGTTATTGTTTATGACTCACGCGTTACTTCTCCCGCTTGATTCTTGTCGATGATTGGCAAGGATGCGGCGTTTGGCTACTGTGTTACCGTACAGTTTACTCGTACGAACTACTCAATACTTGCTACGAGAAGAGTGTTCGGGTGGGGCCGGATTTTTTTTATTGTCACAGGAGATCGGTTGCTAGTGCGTAGGTAAAGTAAGTAGTACAGTACTCGTACTCGTACCCAAAGATTTTCGTTCTTTTGGTGCCGTAACCAATTATTGGTAATTTTGCATGTTTTATTAATTTTCGTGAATAAATCATGGGATGTACATGATATTAGCATGAAATCTGTTCAGTCAAATTGTTTGATCCGTCCATTTATCCCATGGATACTGAACAAACCCTTGCAATTTCTTTGAATTGACCTTCAACAAGTTGAGAGATGGTACCTTCTTAATTGAGCGACTCTCAGTAACGCAATAAACAAATCATGATGAACAATACATCAACATTCCACTCGAACAGTCATCCAGATATGCAAATCATAGCTCTGGCTCTGGAACGGAATCAGCAGCCAGTCGTTTCTCTGCTTTAAGTTGCTCCTCATAAAAGAGAGTCCCAAATTCCGTCCAATCACGTTTCCACATATCTACTGGCATCCAGTTCAAGAGGTTTGGGTCTAGGACATTATTCCCAGGTGGAAACTGTGTGAGATTTAGATCTAACTCCTGCTGCCGACTGGCAGGTACAAAAACAAAAACATTTTTTGGGTACCACCATGCGCCGTCAATACCGGGTTTTTCCATTATATCAATCCTCAAGTAGGCAGTGGAAATGAAATCGGGAATGTATTCTTGCTGCTTAAATTTTTCAATCCAATATGCAAACGTATTTTCATTCAAATGAGAAGGATTCATTCCTCTATCTTGAAAAACCGTTGCGGCTCCAAAGAAAACAAACGCAGGGTCATGTAGGACAAGCAGTCGGACAAAATCCATTGCAGATTCTTCCGGCAAATGCTCAGCAACTTCAAAGGTAGTAACAACATCTGTTTTGGGAATTTTTTCTGCATTGTCATTAAATTTCGTCAAATCCAATACTTGGTAGTACKCGTCCTTGTATTCGGGTGGCCACATGGAGGATGCCGAAGCTGATCCCTCGATGCAATAGGATTCTGAAATCCCAAGATCTCTCCAGGCTTCCACCAGCAAACCGTGACCACATCCCATATCTAGCACGGTGAACGGATCTTTCAGTACCTGAATAGCATGTGATCCCAAACTTCTGGCTAGCTGCGGGTATAGGTGAGCATTTTTCTTGTGTTGGAGAAAGAACTCTTCGGAGTATTCTATTTCGGATTTTGGAACATTCATGCCTTCTACTRAATTTTGCAACATTGATAGGAAGAGACACAGCCATTCGAAGAGGACGGTGCCATATTTACTTGAGCTCCYAAAATTGCATTTCATTTTCGTTTGAACCTAATTATACTTTTTGTTAATGCTGGACTTCTGAAGTAATGGTCCGTATCCGTTTCACCTGATGAGTAGAGCGTGAGAAAACGCGCCTCCTGATCAAGTCAAGGGTCACAAAGCGCAATTAGGTCTTTCGCGGTGCGCTGCAATTGGAAGTCGAACCTCACAACCGGTACTAAAATATCTCTCTACKAAAACAAGAGGCATATCACTGCAACTGAAGTGTTAGGTGATACTGTATTTTTCAGAGAACTTAAAAAACTTTAATGTAGCGTATTTTTAGTATTCTTCCCCCCTCAGATCAGACTCCCCCATTTCCMTCGACTATCACAGTCGGAAAAACTATTCTAGTCTTTTTATTTTCGACTTACGTGATTTTTCTCGGGCGACGCGCACGAATAGACAACGGCTGATCGCCAAATTTGAAAACCTAACATCAATGTTCGATTGTGCMGTACGATACAGTATCATGGCGATTTTCAATTATCTGTCTATTCTATTACGAGGTACTCGTACGGCTAACATGAGTCTCTACGTAGTCCGATACAAACGGGCACTGTATGACTGTTCGTRAACAAAAAAACAAAAACATGAACCGAAGAAAAGAATTCTCGTACTTTTTTTCGTGATACAGTAATATTTTGTAAAGCACTTCTAGAAGGTAATATTTTCCACGAATATATCGGAACTCATTATAGACAATCCATCTCAATGATTGACTATGATAAAGCAGATAGCAGAGACTACGACAGAAGCAGAAATGTCGGCTGCGGGATGCGATTGCCTCCAGCTCTGTCGTCCTCGACTTCCCATTCTCTGTCGGTATCATCAGCTCTGTCGACACCAGCTAGGGCAGAAGAGCCATTGGTTGCATCTTCCTCCTTCTGCTCCTCCTCGTCTTGGAAATCAAGGTGCAAAAGAACCGGTGACTTTTGTGCCGCTGGGCATGAATTGATAAAAATACCAGTTGTCGATCGTCAACGATTTTTACAGCGACAAGAATGGCTCCTACAGCAGCAAGAGGAACAAGGGCTGCGGTGCAATTATCATCCTCACGAGGCGCCGCTTTTTGTCTCTGAACCAAACAAAACATCAGCATCTTCATTAGCATCCACTTCCATTATTATCGAATGCGATTGCTGTTCAAAAAATATGTTCAGGGATCAATATATTGAGGGGTGTTGTTTGGAATGTGATATTGATGTATGTGGCGATTGCTTTAAAAAGGGACAATCGTACATTGACGTGGTTTTAAAGGAATCCYGTGAGAATGATATGCATGATGACCACTGTCAARAGCATCAGGAGCAGTTCCGAGAAAATCATCATCACGAACGTCATAATCGTCATAGACCGACTTATATAGGAACTGGGAGGGTAAATTACGACGACTACCCAGATCCTACCGTTTGGTCATGGTCGTTTACTGGAAGTAGTGATCCAAACGCCTCGGTTGCACCCATCGAATACTTCGAAAAGGACTTCGGAAAAGAAGTTGGTGTGATCTGGTTGGATTTTTATTACACCATTGGAACAGTGCATACGTTCATCGTGGTAGATGGGACAGTCCGTGAATTGTTCACCAAATCGCAGCAAAAAATGTCAAAGCAATCTTATCATAAGATCCTGAAAGATCCTCGTTCCTACCGAAATGAACGCTACAAAAAAGGGAAAAGATATTACCAAGAACGACGACGTTAAMAWTTTTTCCTGCTACTTTTATTTTGATCCAAAGGGCGAGATTAGCAGCAGCGATACGAGACGAAAGAGACTTCGTTGGTCACAAAAACAAACGAGATTGATTATGTTTTCMTCGTGCTGCTGTTCAAATTAATCATTCCTTACATGACTTGACTAGCATTTCACAAAAAATACGCATTGCGACCCAGGCAACTAATACTTGAATTATTTGCACTAAAATATGGCGTCTACGATTYCGTTACCCACTTGTATCGCTTGACTCCGTATTCGGTGTCTCATCATCTTCATCTTCGTCCATGTCGGTGAGTTTGTCGTAACAGAAGTAAACCATTGCCAGCGTGACTGCACAAAGCAGAGCCATTGGTGCAAACAAGCCATCAAGGATCATATCGAGTCCAAAAGTTCCAGCAACAGCACTTATAAGCACGTCTCCCGCAGATCGAGCCAGAGTTCCGGCTTCTGTTGCCAAAAACCCACTGTTGAAAGTGCCTTTCGCCCAAGATGTTGGAATTGTCTTGCTTAACAGCGACATGTTAATTCCTTCTAAACCATTTGTACTGAGGAAAATCCCCACTCCAAAAAGGATATACTGAGAAACTGAGTATGAATCAGGATGAAAATCGATAATACCAAGGACACTAACGATCATGACAATCAATATCGCAACAATCAGTTCTCTATCCTCATATTTCTGACTGAGCTTGGCAACCACAAAGTTTACGGGGAACCTGGAAAGAATCAAATAACCGATAACAGGAAATCATTTAGAAACCATCACAAGAAACGKCAGCGAGGACCTAAGGAAGAATCATACAAAGACTCAACGCACTTACATCAGCAAAGCGACACAGGCCATAAAAAGACCAGATTGCTTTGAATCCCAGCTAAAGTAATACTTTGTGACAGTACTGGTCGATGACATAAGCATTTCCAATACCAATTTCAAAACAAAATACATCCACAAGGATATCATAACTGCGACATTCTTCCACAAAGGGGGCTCCTTATCGAGACTCCCCGATCTAATGCTTTGGTCGCTCTTGTTATTTTCTATATCCCTCTTTTTTCTTGTTAATAGAGGTTCATTTTCGCCTCCTTCGTTGCCTTTCATTCTTCCAATTGAGTTCGTATTATTCAAGATCACTTCCATTTTTTCAATCAACCTTGATTGTGAATCCACTTCTGGACTACCATAAAGGTGAGATCGATCAGGTTCCTCGAACAAAGCAACTAATGCTACAACGAATATTCCCCACGCCCCCACCATGATCCAAGAACATGCATTTACGTCCGACCATAAGAGATGAGAAGGATCGAACGTGAGGTGACCTACACCAAATGCAGCTGCCGGTCCAGCAGCCATTCCAAGGGCCGCATACGAAACGAAATCAGCAGAGGCAGCCGTCCGGTCTGATTTGCTAAAAACATCAGCAATATACCGTCGGTTGATCGATCTTGCGCTACCAAAACCGACTAAAAAACGACCCAATAATACCATCTTGATCGAATTGTATTTCAATGCAAGTGCATACAGTATGTTACCACAAAGAGAGGAGATGGCTGCAAATATCAAGGAATATCGGTAGGAATAATTTGACCAAAATCCATACAACACAGTTGCAATGAGAGCAGCATTTGGTGTCATCCCAATTATCTGAAAGAATAGGAACATTCAAAGCAAATGAGATTGTACCGGGGCGTTGGAGAATTTTTATCGTTTATCAATACACTGGCTTTTCAATACGTACGTATCCCGACATGGATTCATCGGAACCCAACCGCAAGGCATAGTTACCGACACTCGGTGCAACAATGTAATAATTCGTCATGTACAAGAAAGTAGAAACCAAGTTTAGCATCGAACTCAACCTCCGAACGGCCGTAAATTCTGACGCAGGAGTCTTGCCATCATCTGATCCATCTTGATCCTTGTCGTCGGAAAATATCAAGGCCTGTGCTGCAACTAATTCCGCATATTTGGTTGTTTGTCGGAGTCGGCCTCTTGCGGCATTGATTTGGTCCAGTATCGGTTCTCGCTGAGATGTAATGGAAGTGGATGGCAATGAATAATTGTCCGAAAAAGACGATAAACTCTGAGATGAAAATGAGTGAGCTTGCCCTAACGAGAGCTTGCGGTTGTGTTGCGCGGGTCTTAAAGTAGCGTTGATGTCCACGTCCATAGACCTATACGTAGAGGGGATCACAGGCGTTGAAACATTTCTCCTATGATTTGGCTGCCCATCAGGTTTTTTTGAGTCATCACTCAACGTCAACAAATGCAGCTCGAGCAGATGCAAATCGTCAAATGCCCTACGAAGTGTCAGGGTAAGTGCCGACAAACCACCGAAATGATAGAGCTTATCCAGGTGAGAATCTTTTACTATTTCACTGTCCACGTCGCGATCATCTCCATGGCCAACGCTATTGGACTGTAGATACAGCCCGCTTAGTTGGTGGCGAGGAAAGTTCTTGTCGTGTTTTTTCAATATCTTCCTGAGTCCTGTCAAATTCATATCCATGAAATTTACCAGTAGCAATAAATCTTGAGCAAAATCGCGATGCCGTTCTGTGGAACACTCGAGATGACTCCACGTTTTTGCTTTGCCATCTTCCAAGCTCGGTATTGTATGGGTTCTATTCGTCAGATTGCGACTCACTTCCTGCATCAACAGCATAAATCTTTTCTTCAACACCTGCCCATCCTTGGACAATTCGAACAAACGCTCGGCAAGTTGACCTTCTCGAGTCATCACAAAGAGGACGATTTTTTGGATTTCGTGGTCAAGCAAGCGCCGGAATTCTAGTTCAGAACTGCATCTATCTGGCATGGCATCGCTCACTAAGATGCTGGTGCTGCTCTTTACTCCGCGACGCATTGGAGAAATCATTCTCGTTGTCAGATTCTTAATCAAAGTGTTATCGTCGGCGTCATGGCGTTGCTCCAGCTGCTTCTGATGCTTCGTTTTGACAGCTTTTTTAATAAGAGCTTTCAGTGCAGCATAGTCAATGTAATTTTCCTTCCACTTCTCGACCCGTGAGGTCAACAACTTCTTCCCGAAATCCACCATGACAACTTAAATCAAAATCAAAACTTGAAATGAAGCAATCGGCTACTACAAGAAGTTCCTTCTTGAGTGTCCCGGACGAAGTTTAGTGACGAACAAAAGGATAGTCGSAGTTTGTCAACCTTCCGAAGTTCGTAACGTATGAATGCGCTGTCATTCATTTGACATCGAAGAGAGAAAATTGGAAAATATCAATGCAAACGTTGTGAGCTTTTCTGTTTGCGATTGTCGATTGGCGCGTTGGCTTCTCAATTTCAAACTTATTTTTCTTCATCACGTTCATGTATTTGTTATTTTTCGATACAGTACTACGGCCTCATTGTAATACGAGTACGTACGTTACCTATTACTGTATGCGACGTTTTCGTATTCGTTTAATTTAAGATGTGTACGTACCGCTACAAAACATGTTGCTCGTATGGTACCCAAGTATCGTACCGTACGTACAAGTACTCACGTGCCAGTACGATTCTGGCTTCTGACGAAACTAACAAGTACGAGAAGTTGGGATACGAATGAATCTAGAATGATGATACTTCGAATCTTCTCGTCCCAAATTTTTGTTTTTGTGAACATTGGGTCATCGGGTGATTGGGTGATTCCCGTTAATCTAGATGGTCTAAAAGTCTAAAGTAGACCTTTTAGACTTTTTAGTTTAACGGGAATCATTAAAAACAGGCCCCCAACGGACAAAATTTTTGGTGCTCTTCTACTTTTAAGGAATCCAGAATCTCAAAATGACTAAGACTGGATGGACACACGCGGGCGCCCTTTTGAGTACCATGTAAAACATGAAATTTTTGATAGTAACAATTACTACTACTACTATGGGTACTAGTAGTACTAGTGTAAAAATTCAACAGGGCTCATAATTGAGCTGTTCCCTAAACAAAAGACAAGAGTTGCCTCCCAGCAAACAAAAGAGAAGCAATGGGTGTAATTGAGACCCTTTGCATATACTGGGCCATCAAGCATACTAGAGGTCGATTGGTAGAGGAATGGGAAGAGGAACAAAAGACCCCAGAGGAGAGACGCAGGAGGGACAGAAGAACRCCTAGGATTGCAATTAGGAGATATGCAGACTTRCCATTCCTGTTCCTCTTCCAGTCTGGTTGTGACCAAGCGCTCCTCAACTGCTGTGGTGTAGACCACAGGGTCTTCAGGGATCTCCTTGAGCTGTTTGCTCCAGCTTTCAACAGATAGTACTCAGTCAACAGGAACAATGAAATTGTTCTTCTTCCTCCACCCACTGGCAATGGAAAAAAGAAGG